TTTTTACCCCTGAAACATATTCTTCCCTCTCCACTATTATGACTTGCAGGTTGGCCACAGGTCTTTTGTGGGATGAAAGGGACCAGAGGGTACGACATCTCTGTTCAGTCTTTGAGGAGCAGCTGCCTGAGAAATGGCACAGCGTTACTTAGAGCCATATGAATGGGAGAGGTTACACAAAGCCAAAAACCTGCTCATGTGGAGGACTTTGTGGAACACTTTCCTGCCTTTAAAAAAGTTATCTAGGAAGATCTGTGGACATTCGAGAAAGAACAAGGTTGAAGAATATAAAAGGCTGTGCCGGAATGTGGTGGAGCAATTGAAACTAGTCCATAAAATTGTTATCATCCTTTTTCCGTAAAGGACAAGCTCAAAAAAACCCTCGTGAAGTCCTGTTAATGTGGAGGGCCTGTGTGTAGGGCAGAGACTGGAGAAACATAGTTCTCAAGGATTTGTCACACACAGATCCTTGAATCCCATGGTAACTCCTGCAGCATATTTTCTGAAGTACGTCTCTTCAGACAGAGTGTAGCTCAGGTACCTGCAGAATTTCCACCCCAGTTCTGCATCTGTCTTCGCTGGCGTACCAGGTACCACCAGCACCCAGCTGCCACACAAAATGGCATCACCATATCGATGCTGTACACACGCAGACCCCTGCACAGTCTAAAGACCCCAGCTCCAAATACAGTGAAGACCTTTCCTTCGCCATAACGCCAGTAACTATAGGAGTAGCAAATCCTTTCACTGCCATCAGCTGATGACCTTGCTAACTAAGCAAGTCAGCAATGGTGCAAAGATTAAGTGACTTAATTAGTTGGTGCCATAAATTAAAACAAAGCAACTTCTTGATATTGTGTCATACACACGCAGTAATTCAAAGCAAACTCACTCTTAGGCCTTATTTCCATCCTTTGCAGACAATTTCACTGAAAGAATAGTATCGGAGCTAGTTGATTTAATGACCCTTCATTTAAAGGCCAACGTTAGAGTGGCTTTATTTGGCTTCTTTGTAATTGGACTGTTCAACCACAGATAGTCTTACCATATCAATCATTGCATGAGTGAAAGGTGAATAAAAGCATTTACTGAACTGTCATATCCATGATAAAACAACAGATGCCATCAGCTCTAAAGGGAATACATTAGCAGAAGTAAACCTGAAAGATAAAGAACTATTAGTCATAACATGCCTTTCAATCACTTATTTATGTTAGCAGTTCAGCTTTGAAATAAAGTGAACATAATACTTATTTACAATAAATTAAGCTTATCTTTGTACTATGGTGTATCTTAAACAATGATGGCATATTGATTTTTTCCCTTCAGAAACACATTTACCTTCACCACGCTCATTGGTTTGCTTCCCTGAAAGCCCCTCTCACCTCCAGTTCTGTTGGTACAATCCTTTTGGATGTAGAAACCCGACATCCATTTTCCCAGTTTTTTACTTCACAATTGATAATGCGTTTATTAAACTGACACACAGATCCTAAGCCCAAATCAGTTAAAAAACAGATCTTACTGGAGTGACTGGTTACTTCAGGACACCGAAACAAACAGAAAGGCTGAACTGACTTGGAAACATCTGATCCTTCCTTATTCCTGCAGAGAAAGTCTGTTTAATAAAGGAAGGTACAGACATTATACAGCATGGAGTGCAATTCAAGAGCTGGACTCTCCCGACGTGTCAGCACTGTAACAGGGCGCAGCTATCTGTAGGAGCTGAGCACGTTAGCTTGGGATCGGCCACCATACGGGACTCCAGATGAGACCTTGCCAGCCTTAAGCAGAGCAGAATTACTTCAGCTGTCTTGAAAGTGAAATGCCTTTACATTCCCTTATGACGTTTAGCTGTTTAGCAGCAACGTGGCCCTGTTGCCTCCTGTTCCACTTGTAATCTGCTATAACCCTTACATCCCCTCCTAAAGGGCTGCTGTCTCGCTTCTCTTCCCGTTACGTATTTGTGTAGTCAATTAGCCTTGCTTAGAAGCATTTGTCCCTATTGCATTTCTTCAATTTGTCCAGATCATTTTGTATTCTAATCTTGTATGCCTGTGTCCTTCCTTCCCATTTTATAGATCTGCAGTTTTAATAAGCACACTCCCTACTGCTTTGTCCAAGTGATTAACCAGGACTGGCAGCAGACACAGAACCACGCGCCACTCTGGATATCCTCCTCCAGCACTCAGCGCAGACAGCATCTCGGAGTACACCTCACCGAAACTGAGAGCTGTTTTGAAATCTACTTCTAGGCATCATGTGGGTCGTGATCAACATCATGTCCTCTGAGTCTGCTTGGAAACTTCATATTTAGAATTAAAAGCCAAGCTTAAGATATCTGCTACTTTTACTCAAACCTTAAGACCACTACCTCTGTCGTATGAGAAAATTAGCCTGTGCTATCTCACTCTCTACAAACGTGAAGAAATGTAGCTCATTCTCTACAAACCTACTGTGGCCATTGCATACTTTTACTTTTCTTCCAGGATATCTGCTGAAAAATTAGCTGCTAACATTATATGTTGCCTAGATAAATGCAATCATCATTAGAATTGTATCCCGTATTTTTTCAATTAGAAATACGCAGAGAGCATATTCCCCACTGGCACAATCAAAATAAGACCTGGTCCTTCAGCTTCTGAAGCAGGCATTTCCTTCCTTCCTTGAGCAGGAATTACATGGTTAGAGATGATCAGTCTGACTTGTAGCCTGACAAGGCATTCTTACTCAGAGCTTGTTAACAACGTGATTTAACTACACCTCACTAAAGGCAGTGCTTCACTTGCATTCAGGATAATCATAGCTTTCTGTCTACAGCTGTTACACATTTCTGACCATTTGGCATAGCACACAGGAGTCAACCATGCTGTTTCTGAAAAGTCTGTGTGCTGTTAACTTGAGATGCTGGTGCCAATCTATAGAAGTAGCGCATAACATGGATGCTGTCACAAAACAGAAAAATAGCTTGTGGCATTGTGAGATTCCTATTGAATCTACTACTCCGCTTCACTACGACACCTGACGAGGGGTTGTGCTGCTTTAGATGTGGAAGGGGCACCCAAAGCAAACCACCGTCCCCCTCCACCCTCCCTTCTCGTCTCCTAGTGGCTCCACACCAGCTCTGTTCGTGACGCCGACAGTGATAACAAAAAGCACTGTACCACAAATTAAGTGGGATTTTTGTTTTTTATTTTAAACATTTACAGAGATGGAAATAAATACAGGAAATAGAAGATAGAGAGGGTGCTTTCAAAAGAAATCAATCAAGTCTTCTTCAGGCTTCAAACAGGAAAAATTGTATCCAATAGCTGCTTAAAACTGGCCACATTTCAAAGGTCAAGGATTAGGCTGAACAATAATGTAAATAACTAAAGATATGCATTACAACAAACAAGGATGACAGGGCTGACATCAGTAAACACACAGCTGTAAGAGACAAAATGGAACCACACTACAACAGGGAAGTTTCATATATTTACAACATACCTATCATACAAAAACATTTGGAAATATTTAGGGAGTGATTTCTTCTCTGTCCAGCTGTAAGATATAAAAGAAACACTGGAGGGTTTGTTGATTTTGTTGCCCTCCCCAGTATCTACAGAATAGTTTTAACTTTTCGCAAAGTTTATAAAAAACTTTGTATTGCAAGAATTTGTCATCCAACCTGAACTCTTCCATTTTTCCATGCTTGTTTATCATCATCGCTGGCATCCACTGGGGCAGTTTATCAGAAGACAAAGAGTTTGTAAAGTTCTTTACAGTCCTTTACCGATGGTCTGACCTGTAGGTTGGAAAAGTGTCTGTGCGATGAAGCTTCACTGGGCTGGAAACATCTTCAGCAAGTCCGATGCAAAAAAAAAAAACAGAACAACACTGAGTAAGACACAGGCACCTTATTCAGCATTTTATAAAGGACTACATGAATTACAAATTACAGCCTTTCAATTAAACCTATCCCCGCTTCATCTGCTACTCCACTCAGATTTGCTTTCCCAGTTCCTTAAGAACTGAAAGTTGTATGAAGCAAATAAATTTTTTTAAAATTTTGAGTTTGTATTTTAAATGAAAAATGCACTTTAGCTCACAATATTAGCATCAGTTCTTTTCTGTACATTAGAAAAGAGGACAAGAGCCAGTTCAGAAATCATAACTTCCAACTTCGGTGGAAGAAAGTTTTTGCATACAAGGTTTCAGGTGCCTCTACCGTTGAGTGAGTGAAACACTGCTTCACACATAGGGAACTATACAACTCAGTGTAACAATTATTTCACATTTCTTTTTCCAATAGTAATTGAAGCATTTCAAGATTTTGGCAGCCTAATCTAATTAGAGGTGCTTGGGGTTACCACTGAAGTAGTAGCCCTGACTGCTGAACAAGACAAGGACTTCAGTGTCGTTGCTAATTACAACGCTGGCTGCATGCCTTACCTGTTTTATAAAGACTTTTACCCCATTCTCATGACGACAATATCCTAGGATCCTTTTTTTTTCCAGTTTAACAAGCAAGCTATTTTTCTAAATATGAAACGAGTGGTTTGTACCCATACAGTCTATTTATCTTGTGTCAACTGAATGCTGAATTATTGTTTTAATAAAGGATGCTATAGTAAGGCACAGTACGCCCAATCCACTGATCGTGTCAGAATGCTGCAAGCAGTCTTGTTCTCATGTGCCACAGGCTGCCACCAGCAGGTCATCTTCCCATGCCCTAATTTATTGAACAAATTTCAACAGGCATGTAAGCGCTGCTTTTATTATTCATCCCGCCTCTGGAACATTTGCCGGGTTTAGCTGGGGCTTTTTATGTGCTGCCTGCCCCCTCTAGTGTTGAAAAAAGGAAAAAGGAAAAATATTAGATTTTATGGTTTGCTGAAAAATTCGCTGAGGATCAGACTGGAATACAGCTATCTATGTCAGGGCTGCCAGCGCTTGTAATTTTTAATCACAGCTTGTGATAGTCTGTGTTCTAGAGGTGCTAACCTCTACAATCTCCTGCTTTATTAAAAAAAAGTAAAATAAATATCATTCATTATTCCTTGAGAAACCCCTAGTATCTGAGAGAAGGAAAAAAAGAAACGAAACCAAAAAAAAATGAGACTCAAAAAGTTTTCCAAAGCAGAATGTTTTAAAATATCTGTCTAGTGATTTCTGAATGCTTGATGTTGGTAAATGATATCTCCATGTTAGTACCAGAAAGCCCTGCTAGCTCCTGAGGTTCTCTGCTACACGCAGGTTTACCTGTGGGGTTTTTTGGCAGCAGGATGGGGCACGTGGGGCAGGGCTGCCCCTTGGTGCAGCACACGCCAGCCCTGACCTTCAGCGATGACACAGAAACAACCCGTAGCCTGATGACCACGCTGAGCTTCACTTCCTAACACCCTCACAGTGAAAGGAAACTGCTTCAGTCCATCTTTATCATCCAAATGTTTAATTAAGCTCAGCCTTCATTGCATACATTGTGAAAATAAAGTTACAGCAGGTATTGGCTCCTTCCATTTAATGCTCCAGGCTGTCACACTTCTATTAAGTGTTCAGTCTGTTTTCTTCTGGCTTTTCTGAGGAACACCCTGATCCTGACTTCACAACTCATCAATAACAACTTCTGTGCAAACACTAACTCCGCCAGCCCACGTGGCTTAGAGTGGAAGAGGGCGTTTTGAAATACAAATGGGGTGTTGTTTCTTTGGGGTTTTTTCAATTCTAAAAATAAACGTGACCACAAGATGCTGACTTTGGACCACCTCCTCAGCGGTACTAAGCACCGTCAGCTCCTGCTCCAGAGGTGCCTCTGGAGAAACTGGCACAAAGCATCAACAGTGTGTGACAGGGAATGCAGTTTTCGTTTTATCTCAGGAGATTAAAGTTTAGTGTTGAAACATGCTCCGAAATACTGGGGCAGAGACGGCTCACGTCAGCACTGCTGTTAGCCATCCGTGCGCCCTGCAGGTGTGGTGGGCTTCCTTTCCTCCTCCCCATCCCTGCACTCAGTAACCACTAGATGTCCCTTGGTGACCACGGAGGGACAACTGGGTGCAGAGACCTCCCCGGGGAGCCGTTCCTCCCTCTCCGCAGCCTGGGGAGGTTCTCAGGGAGGAGGGGGCTGAGCTGTGCTGCCCCTTGGGCTGACAGCAAGGAGGGGATTTGGAGAAGACACCTGTCCATCATCAGGCCACACCGCAGTGCACGGTGGCAGCATTGCAGCTGCTCAAGCAACAGTTTTCTAGAACTACGTATTGTGGCCATTTCCTTTTATTTTCCCTAATTCGGCTGGTTTGGAGGATGCAGCTGTTTAGGTTGAATGTTAGCAAGTACACAAAATGAATAATGAAGACGGCATCATTCTTAGCATGAGGCAGCCATCCAAAGGAGAGGGGAGCCAAACGGTTGTAAGTCTGGCAAAAAAAGCAGGTGCCATTAAAAGAGTTTGGTAGCAGGAAGGATTGGGCAACCTTGATAACTGGTCATCCTGTAACAGTAATTTCTCCTTGTTTACCAAAAAAAAATGGTCAGAAAACTTGTCATATGATGGATCGCTCTCCAATGAGAAGTAAGAAGAGCACCTCCTGATGACAACCCGTCTGCCAAGGTGTCCATATTAAGGTGAGATGGGCCCTTCTCTCCATCAACCAGACAGCAGTGGCAACCGGCTTAGACCAGACATCAACCTTCAGTGAAATGGGCAGATACCAAAATGATTCAATGTTTTCCTGATCTGATTTGTGCAGGGACTCTTTCCACCCCAGCCCCTTACCTTGCAGACCGTAGAGCTGGCCAGTGCTGTGCTGTCGCGTGATGTGCTGCCAGTAGGCACTGCGGGGCAAGGGCACCATGGTGCTGAGGGACACGGCTCGCTCGCTCATTTTCATCTGAAGCTGCAAAGCAGTAAACTGATGTGAAGGAGACAGTCGTGTTTATTGCAAACCCTCCGAGAACAGCACGACCACCGGCTGCACGGACTTCTAACAATACTGCCAGCACAGCCTCTCCCTCCCTCTGCCCACCCTACCCGAGCAGAGGCAACTCTCGGGGGTCAGTCTCCACGAGCACACACCACCCGGGTTAGGAGGCCACGCTGCTGTTGCACACCAGAGCTCACCTTGGTGCTCCCCCGGTCCTGGGCTAGCACTGCTTCCCCGGAGGGGAGTTTTAACTCAAGCAGCTGAAACAGAAACTGGGGGTCAGTGGAACACAGGAAAGCCTCAGTACGCTTCCCCGTTAGTGGCAAAGCCATCTGAGGGTCTCCCCAGCTACGCAAGCAACTTCCCAAAGCTAAATACAGCCTCAGCACACCAAGAACCTGACTGGAGATGTTTCACACGGGTGAAGACAAGTTGTTCTTGTTCGTTTTGAAGCATTTGCGGTTCATCTCCCCTCTCCTACAGCTGAGGCACGCACCAGCTGGATGGCACAGGAGTTCAACACAGGAGATAACGGCATCCTTCAGCTAAATTCCTGAACGAACAGCACGTCCAGGTATGGGGAGAGGAGAGCATGTGGGCTGCATTGCATTGCTGGAAGCCCCATCTCACACTGCCCCCTCCATACGGGGCCTTCAGCTACATTTTCTTGCATAATCACAGCCCCTCGTTAGTTATGCTGTGCCTGACACAAAAACATATGAGAACTGACTACTTTACAGTACTTTTTTTCCCATGAACTTAATAAGATGTATGTGCAAGCTGATAAAAATAATTGGATTTTATCATAAGCTCCACAGTACAGCTAAAATTCTCCCAAAGCTCAGGAAAACATCAGTTCAAACACACCGAGACTGCACTTGACTTTTCTAATTTATAAAGATAGCTTTTACAGAAAGGCAAGCTTTTACATTTTAGTTTCACAAAACCTGTGATGAAAGAACCTTTTAGAAGATCGGTATATTTTGGAGCAAAACCAAACAGGCAAAACAAGCACAGAAAAGAGGTGAGGACTGGCTGTATCTGAAAAGACCCATTTCCAAGTGAATTAGAGGTGCCATCTACCTCCAACCTCCTCTCTGTACAGTGGACATTGTGCCTGTGCTATGAAGGTAAAACAAAACAAAACAAACCCCAGGTCAAGTCCTGCTCTTAAAATACCCACCTCCGCATCAGCTGGATGTGAATCACCGCACCGTGCAACGTTCCACCTACATCCTACAGCGTATTTATCACAGCTCCCTCACTAACGCCCCACCACCCTCTGCAGTGTCACCACACACATCTCAGCACCATGGAAACAAACAACGATGCATCTTTTCCCAGGGATAAAAATTAGCAGAGCAATGTGACGATGGCATTTCCTGGCTGGAGATACTTTTTTCAGTGGTTCCATTTATTGGTGAGTCGGACAGCAAGCTACGGCAGTTTGAGCAACAGTTTGGCTCTTAGGAGGAGTGCAAAAACCCAACAGGCTGTCTTGGGAGAAAAACAGGGACACAGCTAGAGAAAGATTAGATAAAGACACAGAGAAGGACCAGAAGGGGTGCCCCTCCTGAACTCAATCAGCAAGGGAAAAAAATTCAAAAACCCCACAGCTGGAGATAAGAATTAGCACGTTATGTCCTTAATACGCAGTGTTTCATCAAAACACCTCGCACCGCGAGCAAAGGCAGCTTTAATGATGATTGATTTCATTCTCATAATTAACCTACTGCATCTCTGTGACAACAGAAAGAGTAGGAATAACTTGCTAATGACCTGCCCTTATGCTGCGGAAGCAGCCGGCACCGTTCGCAGGTCAAACCCCGCCAGAACGGATATGCCGGCACACGCGTGAGCAAAGGCTGCGAGCAGAGCGCCGGGCGGGAAACGCGACTCCAAATATCGCTAACACAACAAATAATCTGTTAACCGGAGGGCACCTCATCTGTAGCCTCTCGCTCTCTTCTGCCCAAGGGAGGTGGAGAATGCGGAAACCTGAAAGGAGACCGGGATCCCCGGGGCAGTTCAAGCGCAGGTCCCTGCAGACGCGGCAGGGATCGAGTTATGTTAAGTCACACTTAAACCCAAGAAGCAGCAAAGATGTGAGAAGTGGTAAGGGACAACACAAAGTCACCCCGCAGCTCCGGTGGCTCCGAGAGATCCGCAGGGGAAGGGGATGGAGAAGCAGCACTGGGAGCCATCGGCAGGCAGTGCCGAGGGCAGCTGGGGACCCGCTGTGCCGCCGCCTGTCACCCGGGTGGGAGATGTACAGAGCTGCGCTAAGGAGGTTGGTTGGGCTAACGCACAGCTCGGGGTCAAACACAGGGTACGGCTGCTTCCCAGGAGTCCTGGGGGTTCATGGAGGAAAGATTAAGTATTTTCTTTCTTGGATCCCACCTTAACAATCAGCAAAACTTGTATTAGAGGCAAATCCACTGTCTGCTAAAAAAAAGAAAACCCCACCAAACCAACCAAACAAAAAACCAACCAAAAAACACGACCCCCAAAAAACCTCGCCCCAACAGTCTCTCAAGCTAGCTGTGCTCCAAAAGGATAGAAAAGAAAAATTATTTAAGATTTTTAGGTTTGGTTGGTTTCCTCAGGCTGGACTACGCAATTTTCAAAGATTCTGCAGAACAACTTGCACAAGGTAAACCTTCATCTTGGGATCTCCAATTGGAGAAGACTGCGCTCACTGTGGTTTTGAGGAGATATTCTTCCTAGTGAAGTAAATTTCTGTAATCGATCAAAATCAATTAGAATGATAATTGCTTAAGAAACATTTGTTAAATTCATTACAGCAAAACTACAGAATGGTAAACTAATAAAAACAACTTCAGAAATTAAAGGACACTAACATATCGCTGCGATTTTGACTACTATCCATCTTACACTAATACTCAATATTCTTCTTGTATGTCAGAAGTTAGTGAGCACCATTTCCCCTCTTAATTATGAATCTCTGAGGAACTGGCCAGAAATAATAGCAGGCTCCAGCTGGGCAGATGCACTCACACATCAGATGGATCAAGTGCCAAGCGCACTCGGGAGCTCCTGAGAGGGGAAGAAGAGTCAGGGAAGGCTGCCGGTAAACTGGCTGAAAATATCTTTCTATGAAGCACTGAGCTTTAGCTGCCAAAACTGGTAAGTTCACTGTTATTACTTTAGCGAGATGTCAAGTTGTAATGTCTTTTTTCAAGCAACCTGAACCGAGAGGAGGCATAAATGACAGCAGTCAAGTCACAGCACTACTCCTTTCAGTTTTTATGGCAACCAAATACTTATGAAAATATAACTTGAATAGATATTTTCTTTCCATTGTCTGGCAATGCAAAAGTAAAAGGAAAGAAACAGTTGGATGAGATGAGTTACCAAATGACCAGAATGGCTTCACGCATCAATAAGAAAAGCCAGCTCTTCTTCCCTTTAAAAGAGAAAAGGGAGAGATCTTTGAATTCACTGAAAAGGAAAATAAATGAAACCCCCTTGTGAAAGCGTCACAGGCTCTGGTCAGCACATGCTCAGACCTCACCAGAAAGCAACAGCACATTAACAGAAAGCGTCAGGGTGAGGTTCCCAGCTGAGGGAACACTATCGCATCAATTTTCCACATGCATTTCTAGAGCCAGAGCCAGCTACAGTCACGAACCAAACCAACATACTGTAGTACAAAAAGAGCGACTGCTAGGGAGGTGACAGACACATTATAGCCCACATTCTCAACAGTACTTGGCAGCTTTATTTCACTCTATGAGCATGGGACATTCAACTCCCTGGTTGGGTTTTTTTTGCACAGGCTCCAGGAGCCCTCAGGTAGCTTAATACCATCTTCGCCTCCGTCTTGCATAATCACATCACTGATGTAGCACTGGTCAGGATTACAGGAGCAAACAGAAGACATTCTGTGTAGACTTAATTTCTCACCATCAGTATATCCTACTTTCTACTTTTAGTTATGCTTTCTGTAAATAATAGCTCAAGCTTTACTAATATGAAAATTCACCCAGGGTAAATAATCCTTGGAGACAGAACCGATATAGACAGCCTAGCACGAAGTGCGAGCATCTCAAATGAACTCCCTGTTGAAGCGTTCAAAAGCAGAAGAAAAATACAGGTGAAATCAATCAATCTGAAGATGTACTTTACAAATATTTTGTAATCAGCAAAATAAGTCACCTGAGTTCTACACTGGTATCATAAGTCTCTGCCTAAACTTCTAAATCTGACTATCCTTGAACCGCAGAGAAGCCACCGGTCTTACTATTTCGGAACCAGACAACATTTCTATGAAACTCATATTCAGGGGCATACAGACTCATCTGAAACAATTATAATCCACTACTAAATTACGAGACTTTCAGTTCGCCAGGAATATGTTCTTATCCCCCACTTAGCACTCTAAGGTCTATAAAATTAGATTTAGGGGTTGCGGTTGGACACAGTGTTCATGGAAAAGCTTTTAGAGGTTGTGCAGCTGCTCTCTATTGAAATCTATAGCAACTGTGCATCTGTTGAGTCTATTGGCACTTGTAAGATGGAAATTTTACAGCACAGCATCAGACATCATCTATTAAAGATGCTATTATGCAAATGTAAAATCACCAAATATGAAATTGCCCGTAAGTCTATTCACTATTGTTATGGAACTTATTCCTGTTTTTTGAAAATGAAGTGCTCTGAACAGGTTACTCAATCGCTTTTGAGCCTGGTGGGCTACGAATATTAGCTAGTTATGCTGACTTAGCCGAGCTTAATTTTAATCTGCTTAATTTAGTTACTGTTGAGTACTTGTATCATCTACCCATCTGTCTCAACTTAGATAATTTTGGATATTTTTCAACAAAAACTCCCTTTGCTAACTAGAACTATAACGTTTTTTGTTTTAAACAAAGGTCAAAACCAGCAAAGATGGTGTTAAATGATACTTTACTGGGAAAGGGAAAAAATATCAGTGCAGCTGGCTGCAGAGTTCGCGTGCTATTTCTAACAGTTTTGAAAGAAAGCAAGCAAAGTGTCAAGCTCTTCCCAGTGAACCTGGAAGCGCTGGGAAAAGCATGTGGTCTAAATGGACACAGGGCAGAGGCTGTCACAAGAAAGGCTCCAAGTTAGTACTTCATCCTCTCAGACACAGCGCTCTCCCACGGGCTTTAGAGAAGTAAATTACATTGTAATGACACCAGCTAGAAGTTAGCAGAGTAGCATCAACTGAAAACTGGTATGTCACACTACATATAGTGTGAGATATATATAAAAAATTATACGTAACACTAACTAGTATCTTTCCTGTTGAAAGTAAAGACATTGCATGACCCACACCGCCTAGGAATAGACTTGAATTTTCCTCATTTTCCCATTTCGGTTATCCTACCTGCTCTACAAATGACAGAGTTACCCATCTGCCGGCATGCTCGGCTGAAGCAATCAGTTATCCAGTCTGCAAGACTGGTCAGGACATTTGGAAAAAGTTCCCTGTTGATCCTCCTCTCCTCATTTGCTCCACCTCCTTGGACTGTTATTAAGAGAAATAACTTTCCCATCATGCATTTGGCTTCCATTCTGTCTCAAGTGCAAAAAAGTGGAAGAACAAAAGAAATACAAGTACTTAAGACAATTTGTTCACTTCCCCATTCCCTCAACCCCGTTCTCTTCTTAAGTTTCCACAAGTAGTAATGGCACTTTCTGTTTCATCCCAGCTGGGTCATCCAGTTCATACTGGGATAATTCATCACTACAACTTATCTCTGAAACTAAGATGTTAGTAGAATTACTGAAAGGATTAGACATGGCTGGGGATAACAGCAGTGCTTTTGTTTACAATAAGAGAAAAACCCAAGTCTTGTTGCAGATTACTGCAACAATTAAACCAATTACTACTGCCTGGGATGGAGATAGCTTTCATAGCCAGGCTCTTCCGCAGCTGTCCATTCTGGGCATTTTACACATTCCAGAAAGCTTGTTATCTTCAGGATACTAATTTTACTGTCAAAGTCAACCTGTGAGTCTTGGGGTACACCGACCAATTGTGAGATGGGATAAACAGAACATCCCTTTTCACTCCACAGGTTTCATGACCAAAAAAAAAAAAAAAAAAATTAAAGTTAGTAAGATCCTGAACCACATTAGCTGCAAGTGCCATAAAACTGCCTTTCTTAGACATAATGCTTTTGGAGATGCCACACTATCTGTTCTCAATGCTAGTTTTGCATCTTACACTTCTATATTTCCCACTGGTCACCTGCATCATAAAATAAGTTTTAGACACAAAAAGCACTTGTGGAAAACAGACATCCACTGAGAGATCAGACAAACATCCAGTCCTCCCCCATAGTTTAATCTGAACCATATGACTCTTTCCAAATCCGCCTTGGAGTGTAGACATCAATTAGCAAATGGAAAACTGAGCATGAGCCACAACATTTTGCAAATAGATTGATGAGAAATGCTTCCAAACAAGCTCATGATGCTGATTAATCAAATGAACCTAATGAGAATGTGCACTGACAGAAGCTTATCATCTCCATATTAATTCACACTTATTGATAGCTTTGCAAACACAAAAATCAAGGACTGTAAGTTTCCCTGCTTTGATACTTGGCAAGGAACACCAGTTATGTATACTGTCCTAAATATTAAAATCAAACAGAATTTATTAAAAGCAATAATCAGACCGCTTACTATCTGTGAATCAAAACTTAAAAATCGCATCGAAGAAACATACTGTTCATTGTTGCCCAGTGCGAAATAACAAGCATAATGAGCAGCCGTACCATTGAATTTTTCACACTCTGCAACAAGCGCTCGTGTTGTTCTGCTATGGCCAAAGCAGCCGAGTGCACCTTCTGATAGATCGCTTCCCCATCTCTGGTCTGAAATATGAATAGTCCTTCTCCTGTGTCACACATCCTGCCAAAGCAAGAACAGATGGGATCCAAGTGTGAGATTTCAGTTTACAGATTACCATCAACAAGAAAAATTTTACCCTGCCGCTCTAAAAGCACTATCGCACAAGCAGTAAGAAAACAAAAGGTGTTGAAATATGGAACGAAGTTATCTAAAAGTCTTTGCATATGGGTCTTACCAGCCCTGGTCCAATCTTACTATTTTAGCCCATATTTGTATTGCTCTTACGAAACGGGGACTCAGCTAAGTACCACTGATCTATCACAAGTGCTTAAGCTCTAGAGAGTTCATGCGCAAGACCCAGATTTTTAATATTTAGACCCTATTTAGAATCTGTGCCAGGTAGGATTAATTTGTCTTCCCCGTTCAGACTTTTAACACTGCCCGTAATGAGTTTTGCAGGGTTTTGTCTTCTACTGGAAACAATAAATACATATCCTCAGCATCTCAATTGCATTGTCTTATCATGGCTAATGCATGATCAGCTAAATAAAAATGTATCCCCCACCCCAGCCCCCCCGAGAACTGAATTCTGCAGTAATATGGAGGATGGACATTTAAATGCCTCTTCCCTTTCCAGGCAAGTTAATTGTATGATCTGTTTCTGTTTTACTATTGTAATTCTTTAATGTGCTTATCTAAAATAATGCCTCCATATCCCTTAGAAAGGATTTGATAGTTTAGTTCAATAAATAAGTGTTCCAACTTCAGCCACGCAAACACCAGCTCATTAAGGCTGAGCTGCAGGAAGCAATACAGAACAACATCTCTAAAACAAGGAATTGCATTAAAACTTCTTATAAAGCCGTTTGTCCAACAGATGGAAAACAGGAACATAATCAATGGAAAACAGGAGTCCCTTCTCCATAACTTTAGGTTGTTTTTGGGAAACAACTTGGCACTCGCTGCTCTCAACTTCAAACTCCACTCCTGGTACAGAACCCATAACCCTGTGCCCAAAGGCCCACCTTGTGCAAATTCTGCAATGATGTTCACCCCTTCTGCCCAGTTCTGTCCATCCAATTCTCTGCCTTGTATACACCTTTATTTAAGAACAATCCTATACAGTAATACACGATGCTGTCAGCCTCCACCCTGCGGTCCCCTGGGATGCCTCAGCTCTCCCACCCCCATCCTCAGGCACTTTTATTTGGCAACTGCTTCCATTCAAGCTGCAACACGGGATTAAGAGGGTTTTTATTTGTTTTTATATTTGTTTCCTTTTTTTATTATTATTTTTTAGCAGAGGGTACAGACTAGCCACTGTCTGAAGATACGCTTTCATCTCCTTCAACAACCTTCGAAGTGGTCCAGAGCACCACCCAGCACCACGGAGGAAAGCAACGCAGTACAGCGAACACACACACCTACCTCCCCGCTTCAAACGTGAACCAAGATGGGTCCCGCCCGTAGCGTCGGAGGGCACTTAATGGCCAAGAGATGAGTTTTACTCTGGGATTCTGGATGTCCCAAAGACAGATATTCTCAAATGTTATCTGCAAGGTACATTCCCCATGCACATCTAAATTAGGGGATGGCATCAAATACACATTGAATCTCTCTGGGAGAAAAACAAAAGGTTAGTCTAAAATCCCTGCTCATTAAATGTGCAAGTCATTAAAGGAATTTCCTATTTTCCACCTCTATTACAAGATCTCATTTCCACTTAGAACAATTAATTCAAAACCAAAAATTCAATTCCTTCCAGTAATTCAATAAACTCTGTGTTTTGGGCAGTCAGAATGCTGCACTCAAAGGGTGTCAAACATTTGTGTGTGCATTCAGATACAGAAGAGAACTGCACCATCATAATCCTGATATTTGCAAACAATTAATAAAATTGTGTGCATGAATAAATACATTGCAATTGCATTTGTGCATGTAATTAGTTAATTTGCTTATGAAAGTGAAGTAGCCGTGGGCTCAGGTTTTGCATGCAATTACTATTATTTATTATTTGCTTTACAGTGCTGCCAAAGAGCCTCAGTCACAGAGTGAAACCGTTGTACAGGCATCATACAAGAAAACACACAACAAAAGATAGTCCCCATCTCCAAGAGCAGCTAACTTGTCTGAGAAAGAAAAGTGCTATTCCAAAATAATTCTAGTTACTTTACTTATTACCTCTGGTAGCAATTTAAAAAAGCAAAAGCCAAAAATAAACCCCAGACAAACAAACCCCTCCCCCCAAAACAGGGAGGAGGGCTTGGAAAAACAATTTTGCACCACTTTATTTCTGATATTCACGTGCACAGTCCAAAAGACTTTAAAATAATGCAAATAAAGATTTAAAAGGTAACATTTATGTACCTACCACTCTGCTCCCTCTCTACTCCAGATGCCAACAAGTCAGGCTCTCCAAGGCTAATGTCATTAATTCGTGTTCCAAGGCACTCCATCTGCAGCACCTTGCACCACTCATCTGCCTCAAGTTCTGTATAAATGCCCAGAAAATCTGTGTGTAGGTATAATACATTTATGATTTCACAATTAATGCTCTCATGCTTTCTAACGTGCGTTGCCATTTTACCCACCTGACTCACAAGCAAAGGTTTTGGAGGTGTCATCACTAAAATAAATCCCAACAGCATGCTTCTTTGTGCTTTTTGGCATTCGCAATATATTCTTCACATTATTGAGCTCTGTGACCTGGAAAAGCACAATTTGGAGTTTTAATTAGGAGCTTGAAAAGTTATATATCCATTATTGACTGGAGAAGGAGAGAAAAGAATTATGTCATGTTGCAAAGGACAGAGAAAAGGAGAGAAAGCATGAACATGCCTATGATTGCTCTTTAAGAAATGCAGCCTTGACATGAATGACCTTAGACAATCAACTTGAAGACCCTGGGTGATGAAGCAGCCACGTCCTCCAGTTCTCTCTTGTCTGTACGTGAGCTTCAGTGCAACACCATCCAAACAGGATTTTAGCCAAGAGGGGGTAGAATCAAAGCTCACTCCAGTTGGAGAAATATTTACATGAAGGACATGAGAAAGACCAACCTGATGTAGCAGAAGCAAAGAGAGGTGAAGATAAAAATCTAAAAGATTCACCCATTTGCAGGAGCAAGTCCAGTTCCAGTACAGATCTCATCGTGGAGGACAAAGCTGTAAGAATGGCGAAAAGCTGCTCTCTTAATTATTTTTTGATGGAAAGTTGAGGATTTGTTAGAATAGTTCACTTAAAAAAAAAAAATTAAATCACAGTTTTAGCTATTAGAAAGCTTTTTAGCTTTAAAGATTCACAGACTTGTAAACACAGATTTCTGTTGCTTGGCTGCCAAAAACTGATTGGAGAAATGGCTTTCACACCAAAAAAATAAACATGCATCTGTTACCTTGTATACAGCTTTAGTAAATACATACTACAGTTGCTCCATATTTCTAACATCCACTTTTCACCCTCACAACCATAAGTAACACTCCTAAATTTGACTGAGGAGGAATTCTTCATTATTTGAATTCCTTTTAATATAAAGGTTAACACCCAGACAGGGAATCAGGAAGTTATATTTAAATATTCACTATCAGAAAACATTTCACTGATTCTTTTACATGGTAGGGGTTAGAGAGAGAGAAAGAAGGGGAATTTAACAGTAATGTTCCCAAAGCTGTACAACACATCTTTACTACTTTGGTCTCATCAATCCTGGGGGATAGCCTCATATCAAACTGTGTCAACTGTAAACTAAGAAATGCAGTAATTGTCTTACAGATAAGACTCAGGAAGTATAAAGAATTATCAGTGTTGTAGGCTCCAGCAACAGAAACTGCTCCTCTTGAGCATCTTGGGTTCACCAGCACACCCACTGCCTCTCTCTCCCTTCACCCTAAGTCACTTTCTTCTGGGAGTCAATTTATTGCCCATTCCCTTCCAGCAGGGGAGATCAGACAGCCCAAACCACATTTTCAAGCAAGACCCCTGAAAAGGTAATCTTATTGCAAATGGAAGGAACATTTTTTTAGCAATGTCACCCCAAAATAAAAACAAGCAACACATCCAACGTCCAGAAACTCACTCTATGGGTAGTAGCAGAAGGAATAATGGAAGGAACATCCCATGGGGAACTCACCAAACTTGATAGCTGCCAAATTTAGAACTCAGGTTTTTATAGCCTCCAGGTTTAGGATTTTGAGAAGTGTCAAAACTGAGACTTCCTAATTGCACTTCATTTTGCATGAGCATTTTTCACTCTTCCAGGAAATCCTGTGATGGAAGCACATCCCCCAGTGCTAACAAGACACCGACAAACTCAACATCAAGTATGACAAATCTGTCATAACCTATTCCCATCATGCTCAGCACATGACAGGTCAAGCACAAATTGCCAGCTGCCAAGTTCGACTCATATATTTTTCTCGTATGCCAAGAAAGGATTCAAATGCAAGAGGAAAAAAAGCGCTAGATGTTTTCATTCAGGACAGCAACCACCCTGACATTTACACTGAGCACATTCATATTTTCTGCAAGTGAATGTGCTAATGAAGTTTTGTACCTACGAGCACCAAAGTTAGCAGAAGCAGAACGTAGCCATACATTTTGGTAATGAATCATTTAGCTATCTAGGATTTGTCCTAATGGAAAGCTCATTTCTTAAAATCAGGCGTGTCACACTCCTACTGCTGCATATCCCAGTAATTGTCTCTAGCGCGATGAATCCTGAGGATGCTGTGACAGGGCTCGGTGAGAACATGAAAGGTTTATACGAGGCAGGGAACAGCACACCGCCTCCCCACCCTGGCTCAGGAGCCAAAAGCACTTTCAGCAGGTCAGAGGCTCGGCAGTTCCAACCGCTCGGCTGCTGCCCATGCCCCCACTCAGCCCCTGCTGACAGGCAGCTCGTGTCGCCTCAGCCCCTGGCAGGGAGACACCCTCCATCCTAGCGAGGGAGGTGAAGGACACTCGAGCATGTGGGAAGCTGCGAGCTACTGCACAGGGATGGGAAAGGAAAAACAAACAACCACCCCAACAGTATCACTAATGACCCTGCGTTCAGACTGAGTCATGCACCTCCGGGCCAGATGGGAGCAGATGTTCATAACGCTTCTGGGAATGCGAGAAGGACAAGACTAAAACATTTGCTTTGATCACTGTTTCTTTTACTATGACTCCAACCTTGCACATCTTACCTTCACCACTCCCACCATCCATAAGATCACATTTTACCCCCCAAGTTGTCATGTTTTATTCTCATTAGGGCTACAAGCTGCAACTACTGTCGCATCTCCCTACGTGAGCTCCTGCAGCCTCTGCATCCCTGGCACAGAGTATCCATCACCCATTTCCTCTCATTTCTGTACTACTAGAGACATCCTGTACTTTCCAGTCTCCGCACTCCAGTCTCCAGCTCACCCCACCCACACAAAGGCTTCCAGCCTTGCACAGTGTTGCTTGTATGTCATATCCACCTTGCAGCTCTAGGACCGCATCCTGTCTGAACCCAGCCGTGGGGATTGAGTTTTGCTCCTGCCAATACCTCAGATAACTGCATTCTCCCTCCAGTCTAGGGATTCGCATCAGAAGCAGTTGGTCATTCCAACAAGATCTACCCAGCACACAGGACAGAAGCCATGGACATGCCTTACAACCAAGAAATTTCTTTCTTTCGGTCTCCCAGTCAAGAAGAGTTTCACCAAAAGTTACACAGCAGCTCCTCTTCCATCCTATGGCCCAGCACAGCAATCTCACTTCTGCTGTCCCCAGGTGAGGGCAGCCACTTTATGCTGCCATCACTTCAGTGGACCATAACGGAGTTGTGCAAAACTCAAGGTATCCGGAAGCATGGTGGCTGTGTCACTTAACCTCATACAATCATAGAATTGTCTAGGTTGGAAGAGACCCTTGGGATCAGCGAGTCCAACCATCTACCCTACTCTACAAAGTTCTCCCCTACACCATATCCCCCAACACCACATCTAAACGGCTCTTAAACACATCCAGGGATGGTGACTCAACCACCTCCCTGGGCAGCCTATTCCAATGCCCGACCACTCTTTCTGTGAAAAATTCTTTCCTAATGTTCAGTCTAAATCTACCCTGTTGGAGCTTGAAGCCATTCCCTCTTGTTCTGTCATTAATTATCTGTGAGAAGAGACCAGCACCAACCTCTCTACAGTGTCCTTTCAAACAGTTTCTTTTTTAATGTGTTTATAGAGCTCTATCATAACCCCTCTCCTCATCACTTTGGCTCTACCTCCAAGTGCTATATGCTGGGAAAAGGGAGGAGGGACAGGACAGGGACCCAATATAAGCCCACACACTGCAGCAGTGTGCAGTACGTCAGGTGTTCCCAGGAATTACCTTACGCCCCGCTGTCATGGTTTCAGCTGGGATAGAGTTAACTTTCTTACTAGCAGCCGGTGTAGTGCTGTTTTGGACTTGGGATGTGAAATAGCGTTGCTAGCACACCGATGGTGTTGGCCGTTGCGAAGCAGTCAAGGCCATTTCTGCTCCTCACAACATCCCACCAGCACAAGGAGTTGGGAGGAGACACAGCCGGGACAGCTGACCCCAACTGGGTCCAAAGGATATTCCATACCATATAACGTCATGCTCAGTATATAAAGCTGAGGGAAGAAGGAAAGGGTGATGTTCAGAGTGACGGCATTTGTCTTCCCAAGTAACCATTACCTGTGATGGAGGACCCGTGTCCTGGGGATGGCTGAACACCCGCCTGCCCGTGGGAAGTGGTGAATGAATTCCTTGTTTTGCTTTGCTTGGGTGTGTGGCTCTTGCTCTACCCATTAAACTGTCTTCATCTCAACCCATGAGTTTTTTCTCACTTTTACTCTTCCGA